ATTTTTTTACTTTTGTTTTTCATTTTAATTAGGTTTTTTCTTTCTTTCGTTTCGTCGAATTTGTTGCTGCATTTTTATTGTTGTTGCTGCGGCTGCTAGCGTTATGGATTGTAAAAGTCGAATGACCCTAAGGTAGAGAATGCGATCATCATCATCATTATCATCATCATCAACATCATCGTCATTATCATCATTATAAACTTTTTCATCGTCATTGTCAAGATCTTCATCTTCATCATCATCATCATTGTCATCTTCATCACCATCATCATCATCTTCATTATCATCTTCATTATCATTATTATCATAATTTATTGTTCTTATTGTACACTCTTTGTGCTCCTTTTCTATACACACACTCTCACACTCACTCACTCACACTCACTCACACACACCCACACACACACACACACGCACGCACACACATGCACATAGTTTGTACTTTGTTTGCTCTTCATCTTCTTTTGCTGTTGTTGTTGTTGTTGTGTGTGTGCTTTGCTTTCTTTCTGTTGCTCTTTCTTTTCCCTTATAGGTTTTATGTTTGTTTCATTTTCTATTCTATGTATGTTCACTTTGTTTTTCAATGATTTTTCACTTCACAGGTTTTTCATACTTTTCTTTTCTTCTTCAATTTTATTTTACACTTTTATATTTATTTATTTTTTTATATTTTCTTAAGTCTTTCACATTTTTGCATGCGACACAGTTTTTCTTTGTGGTTTCTTTCTGTACTTCTTTTTACTTGTTACTTTGCTATTTATTAGTTTCTACTAAGTTAAGTTTTGGTTAGTAATTTTTCTTCGTTTTATTGTTTTCCTTTTGCTTTATCTCATTTCCTCAGCCGTTTCGTTTAGCTAGTTTTATGTGTGGAATATTTTTGGTTCCGTATTCGTTTTAGCTCAATGCGCCCCAACTCCAATGACAATGCCTCACGCTGTCAGTCAGGTGTGTGTGTGTGTGTGTGTGTGTGTGTGTGTGTGTTAGTGAAGTACAGATGCCACAGCTGCCAGTCAAAACACTCAATGTGCATTGCCCAACACTGTTTCCCATTGAACGTGTGTGTGTGTTTGCTTATGTATGTGTGTGTGTGTGTCTATGTGTTAGGGATGCACAGTTGTGTTGCGGGATATGCCTGGCATTGTCCAACACTGTTTGTGTTGTGTGTGTGTGTGTTGGTGTATGCTTTAAACTTGTTGCTTTTTAATATGTAATTCTGCTTTATTTTACTACTCGAATTTCATCAAATTCAATGATAACGCGATATTCATGGCATAAACATTGAATACGCGATATCGACTGAGTGTTTCACTTGAACATTTGGCAATGCGTCCAAATGGGAAAAGAAGAACAATACAATTATACCAGTACATATGTATGTGTATGTGTGGGACTATGTGTGTGTGTGTGTGTTGTTTGTTTCATTGTTTCATTCAATTATTAATTTGTATTGCTTTTGCTGGCAGTTCAGACGTTTTTGTTTTGTTTTTTTTTTTTTTTATGTTTACAATACAAAATACAATTAAATCCATGCAATTGGTGTTTTTTCTTCTTCTTTGACATGTGTGTGTGTGCGTGTGTGTGTGTGTATGGAGTTTATGCATTTGTTATTTAGTTTTCGTCTTGCACTGTTTGGTTTTTGTTTAGTTTTTATTTTGTATATTTTTTTATTTTTTTATTTTACATATAATTTGAATTTTTATATAATATATCCTAAGTTTGATTATGTGATTTATCGTTTGAATTTGTTTTTTCTTGTTGTTTCTTTTAGGCAAATTAAAATATTTAAGGCTTTTATTTGCTTTAGAATGCAGATTTAGAATTTTAAGAATCGAATTTCAGATTTAATTAATTAATTATTTATTTATTTATTATTTATTGTGTGCTTGTTTGTTGTTGTTGTTATTGCTGTATTGACTGTCTGCTAGATTGTACTCGTACTCGATTTTGTAGGAAATGGATTTATGACGCTTGATTCACATATGCATATATATGTGTATGTATGTGTGTATGTATTAATAGAACATTTGGGCTTAATTCATTCTAGGTGACATGTTCTTGTTGTATGTGTGTGTTGTGTGTTGTTGTTGTTGTTGTTTTCTGAAGGTAACTACGAGCCTGCTTACAAATTTAAAATATTTTCTTAAGATGCTCAACATTTCTCTTTAGCTTAAGTATGATTGTTGTTTGTTTGTTGGTGTTGTGCTTCTCATTTTGTTGTTGTTGTTGTATTATATTGGAAACTGAATTAACTTAAATTTGTAGACACTTGCTGCTGTCGTTGTTTGTTGTTGCTGATGTTTGTTGCTGCTGTTGTTGTTTGTTTGTTTGTTGTACTTTATTACAATTTGTATGTTTTCCCATTGTTGTTGTTGTTGTTTGTTGTTGTTATTAATCTATAGCAGAAAATTATGCTTGTTTCGCTGTTGTTGTTGCTGTACCTGTTTGCTCACTGTTGTTGCTGCTGTTGTTGTTGCTGTTGCTGCTGCTGCTGCTGCTGTTGTTGTTGCTGCTGCCAGCTGGCACTCGGTTTGTTGCTGCCAGCTGCCGCTGCTCTCAGTAGTCGCGTGCGTCTTGGAGGGGGGGGCGAGGCCTGGCTCAGACATCTGCCGTGCGCGATGTTATGCTCGGCGATCGCGAGTGTATTACAACCTTGTGGCCGTTTTTTGTCACAAATCCATCGCTCTCAACGAGCACGGCCGTTTGGCGGCCAGCGCTGCCGCCGCTGCCGGCGCTGCCGGCGCTCTGGCCGCCGGGACTGCCGCTGCCGTTTGCGTTGCCATCGTTCGGACTATTTACAATGCCGCCGCCATCAGCATCGGCTGGATCGTGGCCGCCATTGGCGCCGCCCGCATCGGGATCATCGTTATCATGCGGGCCATTGTGATCGGCTGCATCCGCATGGCCGGCGGCTCCGCCGGGATCAGCTGGATCGTGGCTGCCATCGGCATCGCCACCGCCTTCAGCATTACCTTCGCCGTCGGCATCGTTTCCACCGCCGCCGCTTTCCACGCGCGCCTTATGCTTGCGCCAGGCGTGCTGGATGAGGCGGGCGCAGTACTCCTCGCGCTGGCGCCACAGCGTTGAGGAGACGGGCTCGTAGCCTTCGGTGTCGGGTCGCGCCGCAATTTCGCCAATTTCGCCCGTCTCCTCGATCGGATTGCCCTTGCGCGCGAAAAAGTCTTTGGTGAGGGCGTCGAGTATGTCCACGCAGTACATGAGATCGCCTCGACAGATGGGTATGTCCATCGATATGATTTTGTACTTGTTCGGCTTGTGTATCTGCAGCGGCGGCTCGAGCACATCGAGGAACTCCGATAGCTGATCGTAGCGTATATACTGCGTACCCTCTGGATCAAACTGCTGCCAGATCTCGTAGTACATGTCGTAGTCGTCGTCGGTTAGACCCTCCTGCACATCTTCGGTGGCCTGACTATAGTTCTCAAGAATGACAGCAATGTACATATTAATAACTATCAAAAAGCTTATAACTAGATATGAGAGGAGAAACGTTATTCCAACGGTCGCTGAACCACAATTGCCCGGATAGCCTTTGTCGTTGTCGGGTGGATCGCATGCTTCCTCATTGATAATGGCGTCGAGTACACCATCCCAACCGGCTGAGGTAGACATCTGCTCGTTTAGCGTATGCGCGAAATGCAACCGATAGATCGTTAGATCGACAGATTGATTGATCGAGTTAGATCGATCGAGCATCGATAAACGATATGTATTTGTTTTGTTTGTTTGGTATTTTTTGTTGTTGTTATTGAATTGCATTCGGTAGCGGCATAAAACGCATTTGTGGACGGCAGAGTTGAGCGGTTGGATGGTGTTTTTTTTTGAGTATGTTTTTGGTATTTTTTTTGGTATTTTTTGTATGTTGATCGTTCATTGTTTTTGTTTGTTGTAGTGGGTCGATCGTAAATGGTCGATCGGGTCAGAATTGTAGTTACGTGTCGTACGTATGTGTGTGTGTGTGTGTGTGTGTGTGTGTGTGGGCAGTGAAAGAAAAGTTTAAGACAGAAGATACAATAACAAGAAGAGTCATTAGTCAAACGGTAGGTTAATGGATCACTTGGTTAAGCAAATCTAAGTAGTTGTTAGGTATGTTGGGCATATGGTAGTTGTAGTAGTTGTAGTTAGTAGTAGTTGTTGTTGTTGTAGTAATTGTTACTAGTAATGGTTGTGGTTGTGGTAGTGGTAGTGGTAGTGGTGTTGGTAGTGGTGGTTGGTGGTTGGTGTTGGAGGTGGCTGACAAACGATATAAACAGTTTGCTTGAATGCGGTTAACTGAATAACTGGCTTGCAAATCGGGCCATATTGAAGTGTAGGCCACACATACAACTGGACATGGGTATGCATAGAATGCATGTATGTGTCTGTGTGTGTGTGTGTGTGTGTGTGAGTTAGTGTGGCGGCCAGTCTTGAGTCGCATAACGGTTTGATGGCCAAACAATGGAACGGTAAATGCAAGCGGGAGCTTTGTTCGTTCGTTTGAATTGGTTTTGCGAACAGAGCAAATCGAAAGCTCAAAGAGTTGTAAACAGTTAACAGAGACAGAGGGAGACAGAGAGAGAGTAAGACAGAGACAGAGAGAGAGAGCGGGGATTAAAGAGATACAGTGTATATGTGTAAGTGACTTAGATAGAGAGAGACAGAGAGAGAGAGAGAGAGAGAGAGAGGAAGAGAGGAAGAGAGCGTAGCGTAGTTTTGTATTTCTTTTGGCGTTTGAAAACGCGCGAAAGTTTTGTTTATTTATTTTTGCATTGTGTCATGAGGAAATTCCAAAATTTCATTTGGCATTTGTTGATAGAGCTGAATTAGATTTGTTTTTTTTTTTTTTTAGTACATGAATGAATAACTAAGGGTATGATTTAATTAAAAAAAAGAAATTGGAGCTTAAATGAATAGTATGTACAAAAAATAACATATGCTTTAAGGATCAGTTATAATCTTTGAGCAAAATGGCTTAAAATGAGCTTGTTGAGAAGTTGCTGAAAGCTCAATGATGCAAGCTTAAAGCTGCTGATATGCATGGCATATAGATGAGATGTATAACTGAGGAGTAACGTGATTAAATTGTGAATGAGAAAAAAAACTTGCTCTAATTTAGCTTTTACCAACAACTACCGCAGCTTGAATCAACATTGTGATGTTGCCACTAAAACAAAATGGCGCACACGGCAAGTGGCAACATTAGTGGAGACGATCAGCATCGATAGACCGATGGCTCGATGGCCGATCGTCTGCGTGTCTGTGTGTGCTTAAGCGCGGACAGAAACGTTGCCAGAGGCTGTGCGGCGCCAGGTGCCAGACCTGCCAGACCGCTCGCATTGCACTGGGCGGTTATGCTGGGTGGTTGGTGGTGGTGGTTCTGTTTGGTTTGGTGTGTTTAGTGTGGGGGCGTGGCAACATCACCCAACGACAACAACAATAGACAACATAAACCGTTAACGGAATTGTGGCAGAAACGCTTACCTGAAACAGCAATATCATGCTCTGGCCAAACGTCTTGAAGTTGTAGACATCGTTGATGCCGCTCTTCTCCTTCACGTGCATGAAGAACGACATGCCGAAGATGGCAAAGATGAACATCACCAGGAAGAGCAGCAGACAGATGTTGAACAGCGCCGGCAGCGACATCGCCAGCGCAAATAGCAGAGTTCGTATGCCCTTGGCGCCCTTCACCAGCCGGAGGACTCGGCCCACTTTGGCCACGCGCACCACACGCAGCAGCGTGGGCGACACGAAGTATTTCTCGATAATATCGCTAAGTACAAGACCTGGAGAGCGCGAGCGTCGATTGAGAAATTTAGTGTTCAGAATTATTGATGGCAGTTAACTAGAATAGGGCTCAATTCAGAATGGGGAATTCAGATGGGGCCGGGGGATCGAAGGGGATGGGGGGCGGGTTGCCTCTGTGTGTGGCAGGGGCGCAGCGCAATCAGAGTTGCACAAACAAGACACTAAAACAAAGAAACACAAATTAAGTTACGAGTAGTGGGCGCTGGGAGGGCGGGGTAGCGCAATATTAACAATTTACATAGCTGAAATATTGAAAGCGTTAGGAAAATACACACAGACACAGTTGTTCGCTTGATTTACCCAAGATTCGTACACAAACAACAAATCAAAAAATCAAACAATTACATATACAGATACAAATACAGTTACAAATACATATACATACAGATATAGATATTTGGATATGGGATATACATATAGTATGTACAATTGTCGGATGAAATGATAATTGAATTTCCCATTAAATTGCAAAACCTTTCTGGGCAGACAACAAATTAGAAGTCTTTAAGCGATATGGCAACGCTGCCATAAGAGAGGAAGAGTAGAACTGCTCTTAGGGCGGATAAAGGAGAGGGGAATTGAAACTGTTTGCAATTTAATCGAAACTCGATGCAAGCATTTAGCATAGAAGGTTCCATAGACTATACATAACGATCGTCGGATCCCTATCTTCTCTAAATATATACATTTTTTTAAAGCCCCGATCTTTATGTATAGTATATCCACTTTCATGATGCTAAGCATAGTTAATATCATTTCATCTGAATACAGTCATAGGATATGCATATATACACAATATCTGAGTTAGTAGTCGATACCGTTACGTTACGAAACAGAAAACAAAACAATAGCTAAAAGGAAAACATCAACATAAGATACACACAGATATACGTATTCTTAAGTACGGGTATACAGCAGTGTCATACAACTTACATACATACATACAGACATAGTACACATGAGTATGTTGAGTAAAAGAAAGAGAGAGAAAATCAAAGGAAAAATGAAAAATTGTAAAAGTAAGTTTTAGCTGTAACTTGTAGAGCAACGGTAAGCAGCAACACTTAGTAGAGGATATCCATTTGTTTTTTTTTTTTAAATTTGTTTAAAAAAGTATTTAGTTTAGTTTTTTTTTTTTTGCTAGCGCAGAGGCGTTGAAAGCAGCAGCAGGCGTATGCGCAGGTGTAGGCGAGGGCGTAGGCGTAGGCTTTGGGCGTTGGGCGTTGGGCGTTGGGCGTTGGCATCGAAAATCATCTCGTGGCGCATGTCTTTAGAGATGTCTTCATAGAGTTGACTTAAGAGCTTTAAGTTGTTGTTGCTTTTCTCGTTTAGCTTTGTTTATTAATTGGTTCGGGTTAAGAGATATACATATACATTGTTGATATATATATGCATATGTAGTAGTGGTATGTGTGAGCGTCGTTAACTTTTAGCGATAATCCGAAGCATATTTTAAGAGTGCCAAACATCAGCAAAAAGTTCGTTTGTTGCCCAATCGCGCTCAGGGAGCACGAAAGATAGAGAGAGAGAGAGAGAGCGCGAGAATAAAGAACAAGATAAAGGTGAGTGGGAGCGAAAGCAGCTCAACTGCTGCATACAATAATTTTGAATCAATATGTTCATTGGCATCTCATTCTCTAGTTGGTACGAAATGCGCACTAGTGTGAGCGAGAGGGAAATGGGGGGCACTACACACATCTGATAGCTGAGCAGTGGGCAGACACTAAACACAACTCAACTGAAAGCTGGCTGAACAAACGAACTGTTGCGATTGGTTGAAATTGTAAAATGGAGGCGAGTAAGAAGAAGAGCATAGCGAGCAGTATTGAATGCCTATGCGTTATGCCTAATGACAGGCTAATTAACAAAAATGAGAATTAACGGGAGCGAATTCACGAAAAAGAGAAAGAGAGAGAGAGAAAGCGGGAGAGCGAAATATAGCAAGGGAGCGAGAGAGATAGATAGATAGAGTGGAGTGAATGTGAAAACAAAACAGAAAAATATATATATTGCTTTTTTTTGTCTGAACAAACGAGTTGGTGGTATTTGTAATATACATACATATATCGATATTCGAAGTTGTGTAGAACTGCTCTAATATTATATATACATACATACACATATAAATACTACGTTTATACGCCTACAACATGTTATTTTTATTATTATTTTTTGTGTTGTGTTGAAAATTACTGATTGGTTACTAGTTGAACGAAAGTAATTTCAGATATATTAAATGTACTATTGAAAAAATTATTATTTACTATACTGTCCGTGGTTTCTGATTTCTGATTGGCGGCGTATAAACGTAGTTCCAATTATACGTATTAAGCATGAATTTTAATAAGTACTCACTTTAAATGTCATCTATAATATTTCGAGTGATTTCTAAACTTAACAAGCTTATAGCTATGTATGTGAAAGGTTAGGGTTTATGGATAAGATCGGTATACTTAATATGTAGATAATTGCATTTACATTCGTCTAAATAATACCATTTCGAATAAATGTTTTTGTTTTTATGTACACTCATACAATTTTTAATATAATATCCATATATAGCGATATGTATGTGCTTCTTTCTGAAATCTCTTTAGCTTGAGTGGCTTACGAGATGCGTTTATACGAGATAAGTTCATAACTTCATATGGTTGGATAGACTGATAGCTGGACAGAATAGGCGAACAGGCAGACATGGCTCGATTGACCCATCTAGTTCTTATAAATAATGTTTAATATAATTATGTACTTTATGAGGTCTGCTAATCCTAATCATAAAAATCGCACGCAGCAGGTAAGAAAACTAATAAATACGTATATTCACAGTCGCATTTAAAGTACATTTGCCACATTTGGCTGGGTTTTACGGACTGCACAATACTCATCCACGGCCCAAACGCTGCCAGATCTATTTTTCGATTTTCCACTCCCACAGTTTTGAGTTTAGATATATCCGCCATATCCTTTTCATCTGGAGTTGTCAACGCTAGTATATATATGTATATTCCAAATTTTAACTCAATCCCAGTATGCTCGACTTGTTTCCTTTCTCTCCCTCTTAAATGCTAAAAGACACAGACTCAATCGTAGTATATGTGGCATGTACCTAAGCAGTAGTTCCCAATAATTTTAATTTTGTATACCCTGAACCTATTGAAAATGGGAAATCAGGGAATAATGGTTTTGTTGAAATGTATATAACAGGCAGAAGGAGGCGTAGCAGACCCCATAAAGTATATATTCTTGATCAGGGCGACGAGCTGTCAGCTGTCAGTTCGACGGTCTGTCTGTCCGTATGTTTGAACGCGTCGATTTCAGAAGATAAAAGAGCTAGAGACTTAATTTTTTTTAAATCTCCGTATTTACAGCGCGGATATCGAGTTTACCATTAAAAATCGATAACTCATCCCGATCTATTTTTTTATCGATAAGTAACTTTATCGAAAAATAGTTATAAAATTATATCTACTACACCTTTATCGCTAGTCTCCAAACTTTTTATGTATGCTTATATGCAATTTCGGTTTTTGTTAAAATTTACCCCCCACCTCTATGTCCACCCCCTCACCCTCACTTGTGTAAAAGGCGTATTTAAAATAATAGAGACTTGTGCTTTGGCAAATACATACACATCCATGTTATAATCATAATCTGAAAGTTTCATGAAGATCGTATGTCCACAAAAAAAGTAATTAAACAATTATGATCTCAAAGTATATGTGTGTATGTGTTTGTGTATGTAAATGTTTGTGTATGCCTGTGTGTATGTGTATGAGTGTGTGTGTATGCGTGTGTGTGTATGTATGCCAGTCTGTGCGTGAGTGCGTGTGTATGTGTGTGTGTGTGTGTGTGTTTCTTCTGTAAGCTGAAAGACTAATGCTCCAAGGGTTCAGGGGATCTCGTAGTCGAGCAGTCTCGACTAGACCTTTCTTACTTGTTTTTGTATATTTTCCAAAAAAATTTATTAAAAATGATTCCCTATCGTTACAGTAGCCATTGTTTTTTTTTTTATTTTAAAGAGAAAGAGATAATACAAAAACAAGTAAAAACGTTGCAGTCAGGCGTAACCGACTGCGGAATACTCATTCACATCCCATCAGCAATTTAGTAGTTAAGTTTCGGTCTAATACTGTAGAAAATGCAGTTTTTCTCGATTTGCCACGCCTCTACTAGGCGGGGACACCTCATTTTTGGTCAGTTCTTAGAACGAGATAACGGTACCCTAACTGCAAAATTTGAATTCTTACGTTAAAAGAATGTGAAAATTACAGGATATTTTTCGATTTGCCATGCCCTTAAAGAGGCGTAAAAATTATTTGTAGGTCATCGATAGAGGAGGTTACTGGTAACTTAACTATCTAAATTTAAAGCTTCTAGCTATTATACTTTAGGAGATATAAACTTTTCCTGTTTGCCACGCCCCCTGTGGGCGGATATATATCCGACAAAACTTTTTGTTTTTGGGTGATCAGCCCGAGTATATATACAAAATTTTTGTTCTCTAGCATTAATAGTGTCCAAAATATAGCAGAATTTAAAAAATCACTATATCTTCAGGGCCGATTTGCCACGCCCCTAATGGGCGTGGACTTATAATTTTTCCTTTTGACTTTATAGAATCATAACATTAGCTGACGTGCAAAATTTCAGCGCTCTAGCTGTAAAACTCTTGAAGATACAGTTTTATCCGATTTGCCACGCCCGGAGATATATCCGCCATAGCTCGTGATCTTAAGTGATCGACGCTGGCCTACATACCAAATTTAAGCTTTCTAGCTCTTCAACTAACATGATTTCTGGTATATCGAAAAAGCATTTTCCGATTTGGGCGGATCGGGAAAATTTTAACACTTTATACGAGTATGTGTTCCAAATTTCAAGTCTCTAGCTTCAATAGCGCCGAAATAGATTGTGTTCATACGGACAGACGGACATTGCACAAAACCAATATACTAATTCACTTTCGTGAATGAGTATAATAATTCACTTTCGTGAATGAGTATACAAATTTAAAGATGAAGCTCTGATGGCTT